TTAGCTCAAGGTTTAGCTAAGGCAATGCACCATGGGCACACAGGCTAATGTGCTGAAGGGGAGACACTTAAAGTGAATACAGTAAAATGTGTATCTAATAGCGTCATCACGATCACCACATTGATATGCAAACTAGGCTAATCGCCTCGGTAATCTGCATGCAGTCACCGAGGCATAGCAGGTGAAAAGGATCAAACTAAAAACACCTCACAACTTCTGAGGTCAAGTCAGTACTTTCCCCAGATAGTTACTGAGGTCAAGTCAGTACTTTCCCCTGATAGTTACTGAGGTCAAGTCAGTACTTTCCCCTGATAGTTACTGAGGTCAAGTCAGTACTTTCCCCTGATAGTTACTGAGGTCAAGTCAGTACTTTCCCCTGATAGTTACTGAGGTCAAGTCAGTACTTTCCCCTGATAGTTACTGAGGTCAAGTCAGTACTTTCCCCAGATAGTTACTGAGGTCAAGTCAGTACTTTCCCCTGATAGTTACTGAGGTCAAGTCAGTACTTTCCCCTGATAGTTACTGAGGTCAAGTCAGTACTTTCCCCTGATAGTTACTGAGGTCAAGTCAGTACTTTCCCCATGATAGTTACTGAGGTCAAGTCAGTACTTTCCCCTGATAGTTACTGAGGTCAAGTCAGTACTTTCCCCTGATAGTTACTGAGGTCAAGTCAGTACTTTCCCCTGATAGTTACTGAGGTCAAGTCAGTACTTTCCCCAGATAGTTACTGAGGTCAAGTCAGTACTTTCCCCTGATAGTTACTGAGGTCAAGTCAGTACTTTCCCCTGATAGTTACTGAGGTCAAGTCAGTACTTTCCCCAGATAGTTACTGAGGTCAAGTCAGTACTTTCCCCTGATAGTTACTGAGGTCAAGTCAGTACTTTCCCTGATAGTTACTGAGGTCAAGTCAGTACTTTCCCCTGATAGTTACTGAGGTCAAGTCAGTACTTTCCCCAGATAGTTACTGAGGTCAAGTCAGTACTTTCCCCTGATAGTTACTGAGGTCAAGTCAGTACTTTCCCCTGATAGTTACTGAGGTCAAGTCAGTACTTTCCCCTGATAGTTACTGAGGTCAAGTCAGTACTTTCCCCTGATAGTTACTGAGGTCAAGTCAGTACTTTCCCCTGATAGTTACTGAGGTCAAGTCAGTACTTTCCCCAGATAGTTACTGAGGTCAAGTCAGTACTTTCCCCTGATAGTTACTGAGGTCAAGTCAGTACTTTCCCCTGATAGTTACTGAGGTCAAGTCAGTACTTTCCCCAGATAGTTACTGAGGTCAAGTCAGTACTTTCCCCTGATAGTTACTGAGGTCAAGTCAGTACTTTCCCCTGATAGTTACTTAGGTCAAGTCAGTACTTTCCCCTGATAGTTACTGAGGTCAAGTCAGTACTTTCCCCAGATAGTTACTGAGGTCAAGTCAGTACTTTCCCCAGATAGTTACTGAGGTCAAGTCAGTACTTTCCCCTGATAGTTACTGAGGTCAAGTCAGTACTTTCCCCTGATAGTTACTGAGGTCAAGTCAGTACTTTCCCCTGATAGTTACTGAGGTCAAGTCAGTACTTTCCCCTGATAGTTACTTAGGTCAAGTCAGTACTTTCCCCTGATAGTTACTGAGGTCAAGTCAGTACTTTCCCCAGATAGTTACTGAGGTCAAGTCAGTACTTTCCCCAGATAGTTACTGAGGTCAAGTCAGTACTTTCCCCTGATAGTTACTGAGGTCAAGTCAGTACTTTCCCCAGATAGTTACTGAGGTCAAGTCAGTACTTTCCCCTGATAGTTACTGAGGTCAAGTCAGTACTTTCCCCTGATAGTTACTGAGGTCAAGTCAGTACTTTCCCCTGATAGTTACTGAGGTCAAGTCAGTACTTTCCCCTGATAGTTACTGAGGTCAAGTCAGTACTTTCCCCTGATAGTTACTGAGGTCAAGTCAGTACTTTCCCCAGATAGTTACTGAGGTCAAGTCAGTACTTTCCCCTGATAGTTACTGAGGTCAAGTCAGTACTTTCCCCTGATAGTTACTGAGGTAAAGTCAGTACTTTCCCCTGATAGTTACTGAGGTCAAGTCAGTACTTTCCCCTGATAGTTACTGAGGTCAAGTCAGTACTTTCCCCTGATAGTTACTGAGGTCAAGTCAGTACTTTCCCCTGATAGTTACTGAGGTCAAGTCAGTACTTTCCCCTGATAGTTACTTAGGTCAAGTCAGTACTTTCCCCAGATAGTTACTGAGGTCAAGTCAGTACTTTCCCCTGATAGTTACTGAGGTCAAGTCAGTACTTTCCCCTGATAGTTACTGAGGTCAAGTCAGTACTTTCCCCTGATAGTTACTGAGGTCAAGTCAGTACTTTCCCCTGATAGTTACTGAGGTCAAGTCAGTACTTTCCCCTGATAGTTACTGAGGTCAAGTCAGTACTTTCCCCAGATAGTTACTGAGGTCAAGTCAGTACTTTCCCCTGATAGTTACTGAGGTCAAGTCAGTACTTTCCCCTGATAGTTACTGAGGTCAAGTCAGTACTTTCCCCAGATAGTTACTGAGGTCAAGTCAGTACTTTCCCCAGATAGTTACTGAGGTCAAGTCAGTACTTTCCCCAGATAGTTACTGAGGTCAAGTCAGTACTTTCCCCTGATAGTTACTGAGGTCAAGTCAGTACTTTCCCCTGATAGTTACTGAGGTCAAGTCAGTACTTTCCCCTGATAGTTACTGAGGTCAAGTCAGTACTTTCCCCAGATAGTTACTGAGGTCAAGTCAGTACTTTCCCCTGATAGTTACTGAGGTCAAGTCAGTACTTTCCCCAGATAGTTACTGAGGTCAAGTCAGTACTTTCCCCTGATAGTTACTGAGGTCAAGTCAGTACTTTCCCCAGAAATGTGATGTTTAAATTCAGATTAGCTTTAAATCTATAGATGAATTCAGACATGCAGTAACACGAACACCATTTATGTGTTTCTGGAAGTGTTATTTCCATCAGAGTGAAAGAGAACATGAAGCAAAATAGACCAGAATAACAAGTCCATGAAAAAACGATCTTTTTGCCTGAAATGTCCTCAAACAGTAACTTCATCATCTAGTTTGTTGTCTGCTCTTGTGCTCAGTGAATACTAAAGAAGACCATTGTCTCTGTGTTAACTGATTCTTTTGTAGAATTCTGTTGAGTATTAAACAATAGCGTGAGTGTGAGGGTATTACAATAAACAGGTCAGTAAGTCAGAGATGTGCAACTATATTTCACTTTTTTTTATTTATTTTTTTATAAATGATTATGGGAAGTGCCCTTTTTCTCACTTGAGTACCCGCCCCCCAAAATGTCTGTGCACGTCCCTGCAGACAGCCACAGCGCACCTGGCTAAAATGCTGCTCACATCCTTATGTAAACAAACACGCATGTAAACGGCAATTTATCGAGTTCATTTTTATTTATCGTACGATAGTAAATTAATTGCTTATCGCGACAGGCCTACACACACACACACAGACACACACACACACACACACACACACACACACACACACACACTCATAGAAGGTCCCTGATCTCTGATTGGTCCTGATCTCTGATTGGTCCTGATCTCTGATTGGTCCTGATCTCTGATTGGTCCTGATCTGTGGTTGGTCCTGATCTGTGGTTGGTCCTGATCTCTGATTGGTCCTGATCTGTGGTTGGTCCTGATCTCTGATTGGTCCTGATCTCTGATTGGTCCTGATCTGTGGTTGGTCCTGATCTCTGATTCCTCCTGGTCTTTGATTGGTCCTGACAGAGGACCCTCAGACCGACACAGAGTTTAATTACGGTCACATGATGGCGAGGGACGAGCGGCGCTTCAGAGCCGCCGACACCAACGGAGACCTGATCGCTGACAGGAAGGAGTTCACCGCCTTCCTGCACCCCGAGGACCACAAGCACATGAAGGACATCGTGGTGCAGGTGATGTAACATATATGATGTCACTGCTGTGATGTCACATAATGATGTCACTGGTGTGATGTCACTGATGTAATGTGATGGCTCACAGGAAACGATGGAGGACATCGATAAGAACGGAGACGGCTTCATCGACCTGAAGGAGTACATCGGTGAGGAAAACTTTACTGAGTTCACTTCCTGTTGTGGCTCCGTCCACCAATCAGAGGGCCTCTGGTGTGACTGAACGGTGTGTGTTTTGTTGGAGACATGTTCACCTCAGAGGACGGGGGGGGCGTCTCTCAGGTGGTTTATTGACTTATTTCCTCTGACTGACATGTCTCTGTGTGCAGGAGACATGTTCACCTCAGAGGACGGCGAGGACGAGCCGGACTGGGTGGCGTCGGAGCGTCAGCAGTTCTCAGAGTTCAGAGACAAGAACGGTGACGGGAAGATGGACCAGGAGGAGACTCTGGACTGGATCCTGCCGTCGGACTACGACCATGCCGAGGCCGAGGCCAAGCACCTTCTGCACGAGTCCGACGCCAACCAGGTACCTTTCACCTTATTATATTATTATTATATTACCACCTTATCATCAGCCTTCATTAACCACATGACTCCTGCTGTCTCAGGACGGGAAGCTAACCAGAGACGAGATCCTGAGTAAGTTCGAGGTGTTCGTCGGCAGTCAGGTGACGGACTTCGGGGAGGCGTTACTGCGACACGACGAGTTCTAGAAGCCAGTCGCAATACAAACACAATCATTTATTTTTTAAAGCTGGTCAAACTCAAATCTTTGTGGATTCATAGATTGATAATGATATTTGATGTTTTATAATGTTTCCTTCTCTGAGGATGTTTATATCCAGGTCTCGTTCAGAGTTCAGGTGATGAGGTCAGAGGATGTGTAAATAAATGTGAAACTAAGGAGACAGATATTTTCTGATTCAATAAAGTCTTTCTTCACATATAAAGGTGTTGGTGTTTCTGAGAGAAGTTGGACATTGAATGGATCAGAGACTGTGTTTTACATTTCATTTATTTTACTATATTTACATTATCAGAAATCATCCTTTAATCAGTCGTCATTTTGTCCCATCGTTAAGACACTGAAGACACCTCAGTCTTTGAGGTAGATACTTGAGAGGAGTCCTCTGTGTTCTTCCCAAACACTGTCTCCATGATGCAGCCTTTAAACTGAGGCGAGAAGAAGAGAAATCACCTGTTAGACATCCTGTTCACCTGTCTGTCTCTCTCCTGTCTGTCTCTCTCCTGTCTGTCTGTCTGTCTGTCTCTCTCTCCTGTCTGTCTCTCTCCTGTCTGTCTCTCTCTCCTGTCTGTCTCTCTCCTGTCTGTCTGTCTGTCTGTCTCTCTCTCCTGTCTGTCTCTCTCCTGTCTGTCTCTCTCTCCTGTCTGTCTCTCTCCTGTCTGTCTCTCTCCTGTCTGTCTCTCTCCTGTCTGTCTCTCTCCTGTCTGTCTCTCTCCTATCTGTCTCTCTCCTGTCTGTCTCTCTCCTATCTGTCTCTCTCCTGTCTGTCTCTCTCCTGTCTGTCTCTCTCCTATCTGTCTCTCTCCTGCCTGTCTCTCTCCTGTCTGTCTCTCTCCTATCTGTCTCTCTCCTATCTGTCTCTCTCCTATCTGTCTCTCTCCTGTCTGTCTCTCTCCTATCTGTCTCTCTCCTATCTGTCTCTCTCCTATCTGTCTCTCTCCTATCTGTCTCTCTCCTGTCTGTCTCTCTCCTATCTGTCTCTCTCCTATCTGTCTCTCTCCTGCCTGTCTCTCTCCTATCTGTCTCTCTCCTGTCTGTCTCTCTCCTGTCTGTCTCTCTCCTGTCTGTCTCTCTACTATCTGTCTCTCTCCTGTCTGTCTCTCTCCTATCTGTCTCTCTCCTGTCTGTCTCTCTCCTGTCTGTCTCTCTCCTATCTGTCTCTCTCCTGCCTGTCTCTCTCCTATCTGTCTCTCTCCTGTCTGTCTCTCTCCTGTCTGTCTCTCTCCTATCTGTCTCTCTCCTGTCTGTCTCTCTCCTATCTGTCTCTCTCCTATCTGTCTCTCTCCTGTCTGTCTCTCTCCTATCTGTCTCTCTCCTATCTGTCTCTCTCCTGTCTGTCTCTCTCCTGTCTGTATCACCTGTGTGTCCCACCTATGTGTCTCTCACCTGTCTGTATCACCCACCTGTCTGTCTCTCACCTGTCTGTCTCTCTCCTGTCTGTCTCTCTCCTGTCTGTCTCTCTCTCCTGTCTCTCTCTCTCCTGTCTGTCTCTCTCCTATATGTCTCTCTCCTATCTGTCTCTCTCCTGCCTGTCTGTCTGTCTGACTCTCTCTCCTGTCTGTCTCTCTCCTGTCTGTCTCTCTCCTGTCTGTCTCTCTCTCCTGTCTCTCTCTCTCCTGTCTGTCTCTCTCCTGCCTGTCTCTCTCCTATCTGTCTCTCTCCTGCCTGTCTCTCTCCTATCTGTCTCTCTCCTATCTGTCTCTCTCCTATCTGTCTCTCTCCTGTCTGTCTCTCACCTGTCTGTATCACCCACCTGTCTGTCTCTCACCTGTCTGTCTCTCACCTGTCTCTCTCTCTCACCTGTCTGTATCACCTGTGTGTCCCACCTATGTGTCTCTCACCTGTCTGTATCACCCACCTGTCTGTCTCTCACCTGTCTGTCTCTCTCCTGTCTGTCTCTCTCCTGTCTGTCTCTCTCCTGTCTGTCTCTCTCCTGTCTGTCTCTCTCTCCTGTCTCTCTCTCTCCTGTCTGTCTCTCTCCTATCTGTCTCTCTCCTATCTGTCTCTCTCCTGTCTGTCTCTCTCCTATCTGTCTCTCTCCTATCTGTCTCTCTCCTGTCTGTCTCTCACCTGTCTGTATCACCTGTGTGTCCCACCTATGTGTCTCTCACCTGTCTGTATCACCCACCTGTCTGTCTCTCACCTGTCTGTCTCTCACCTGTCTGTCTCTCACCTGTCTGTCTCTCACCTGTCTGTCTCTCACCTGTGTGTCTGTCTCTCACCTGTATGTTTCTCACCTGTCTCTCTCACCTGTCTGTATCACCTGTGTGTCCCACCTTTGTGTCTCTCACCTGTCTGTCTCTCACCTGTCTCTCTCTCTCACCTGTCTGTATCACCTGTGTGTCCCACCTGTGTGTCTCTCACCTGTCTGTCTCTCACCTGTCTCTCTCTCTCACCTGTCTGTATCACCTGTGTGTCCCACCTGTGTGTCTCCCACCTGTCTGTATCACCTTTGTGTCTCTCACCTGTCTGTCTCTCACCTGTCTCTCTCTCTCACCTGTCTGTATCACCTGTGTGTCCCACCTTTGTGTCTCTCACCTGTCTGTCTCTCACCTGTCTCTCTCTCTCACCTGTCTGTATCACCTGTGTGTCCCACCTGTGTGTCTCTCACCTGTCTGTCTCTCACCTGTCTCTCTCTCTCACCTGTCTGTATCACCTGTGTGTCCCACCTGTGTGTCTCCCACCTGTCTGTATCACCTGTCTGTCCCACCTATGTGTCTCTCACCTGTCTGTCCCACCTATGTGTCTCTCACCTGTCTGTCCCACCTATGTGTCTCTCACCTGTCTGTCCCACCTATGTGTCTCTCACCTGTCTGTATCACCCACCTGTCTGTCTCTCACCTGTCTGTCTCTCTCCTGTCTGTCTCTCTCCTGTCTGTCTCTCTCTCCTGTCTCTCTCTCTCCTGTCTGTCTCTCTCCTGTCTGTCTCTCTCCTGTCTGTCTCTCTCCTGTCTGTCTCTCTCCTGTCTCTCTCTCTCCTGTCTGTCTCTCTCCTGCCTGTCTCTCTCCTATCTGTCTCTCTCCTGCCTGTCTCTCTCCTATCTGTCTCTCTCCTATCTGTCTCTCTCCTATCTGTCTCTCTCCTGTCTGTCTCTCACCTGTCTGTATCACCCACCTGTCTGTCTCTCACCTGTCTGTCTCTCACCTGTGTGTCTGTCTCTCACCTGTATGTTTCTCACCTGTCTGTATCACCTGTGTGTCCCACCTATGTGTCTCTCACCTGTCTGTCTCTCACCTGTCTGTCTCTCACCTGTCTCTCTCTCTCACCTGTCTGTCCCACCTGTGTGTCCCACCTGTGTGTCTCTCACCTGTCTGTCTCTCACCTGTCTCTCTCTCTCACCTGTCTGTATCACCTGTGTGTCCCACCTGTGTGTCTCCCACCTGTCTGTATCACCTTTGTGTCTCTCACCTGTCTGTCTCTCACCTGTCTCTCTCTCTCACCTGTCTGTATCACCTGTGTGTCCCACCTTTGTGTCTCTCACCTGTCTGTCTCTCACCTGTCTCTCTCTCTCACCTGTCTGTATCACCTGTGTGTCCCACCTGTGTGTCTCTCACCTGTCTGTCTCTCACCTGTCTCTCTCTCTCACCTGTCTGTATCACCTGTGTGTCCCACCTGTGTGTCTCCCACCTGTCTGTATCACCTGTCTGTCCCACCTATGTGTCTCTCACCTGTCTGTCCCACCTATGTGTCTCTCACCTGTCTGTCCCACCTATGTGTCTCTCACCTGTCTGTCCCACCTATGTGTCTCTCACCTGTCTGTATCACCCACCTGTCTGTCTCTCACCTGTCTGTCTCTCTCCTGTCTGTCTCTCTCCTGTCTGTCGTCTGTCTCTCTCTCCTGTCTCTCTCTCTCCTGTCTGTCTCTCTCCTATATGTCTCTCTCCTGTCTGTCTCTCTCCTGTCTGTCTCTCTCCTGTCTCTCTCTCTCCTGTCTGTCTCTCTCCTGCCTGTCTCTCTCCTATCTGTCTCTCTCCTGCCTGTCTCTCTCCTATCTGTCTCTCTCCTATCTGTCTCTCTCCTATCTGTCTCTCTCCTGTCTGTCTCTCACCTGTCTGTATCACCCCACCTGTCTGTCTCTCACCTGTCTGTCTCTCACCTGTGTGTCTGTCTCTCACCTGTATGTTTCTCACCTGTCTGTATCACCTGTGTGTCCCACCTATGTGTCTCTCACCTGTCTGTCTCTCACCTGTCTGTCTCTCACCTGTCTCTCTCTCTCACCTGTCTGTATCACCTGTGTGTCCCACCTGTGTGTCTCTCACCTGTCTGTCTCTCACCTGTCTCTCTCTCTCACCTGTCTGTATCACCTGTGTGTCCCACCTGTGTGTCTCCCACCTGTCTGTATCACCTGTCTGTCCCACCTATGTGTCTCTCACCTGTCTGTCCCACCTATGTGTCTCTCACCTGTCTGTCCCACCTATGTGTCTCTCACCTGTCTGTCCCACCTATGTGTCTCTCACCTGTCTGTATCACCCACCTGTCTGTCTCTCACCTGTCTGTCTCTCTCCTGTCTGTCTCTCTCCTGTCTGTCTCTCTCCTGTCTGTCTCTCTCCTGTCTGTCTCTCTCTCCTGTCTGTCTCTCTCCTGTCTGTCTCTCTCCTGTCTGTCTCTCTCCTGTCTGTCTCTCTCCTGTCTGTCTCTCTCCTATCTGTCTCTCTCCTGTCTGTCTCTCTCCTATCTGTCTCTCTCCTGTCTGTCTCTCTCCTGTCTGTCTCTCTCCTATCTGTCTCTCTCCTGCCTGTCTCTCTCCTATCTGTCTCTCTCCTGTCTGTCTCTCTCCTGTCTGTCTCTCTCCTATCTGTCTCTCTCCTGTCTGTCTCTCTCCTATCTGTCTCTCTCCTATCTGTCTCTCTCCTGTCTGTCTCTCTCCTATCTGTCTCTCTCCTATCTGTCTCTCTCCTGTCTGTCTCTCTCCTGTCTGTATCACCTGTGTGTCCCACCTATGTGTCTCTCACCTGTCTGTATCACCCACCTGTCTGTCTCTCACCTGTCTGTCTCTCTCCTGTCTGTCTCTCTCCTGTCTGTCTCTCTCTCCTGTCTCTCTCTCTCCTGTCTGTCTCTCTCCTATATGTCTCTCTCCTATCTGTCTCTCTCCTGCCTGTCTGTCTGTCTGACTCTCTCTCCTGTCTGTCTCTCTCCTGTCTGTCTCTCTCCTGTCTGTCTCTCTCTCCTGTCTCTCTCTCTCCTGTCTGTCTCTCTCCTGCCTGTCTCTCTCCTATCTGTCTCTCTCCTGCCTGTCTCTCTCCTATCTGTCTCTCTCCTATCTGTCTCTCTCCTATCTGTCTCTCTCCTGTCTGTCTCTCACCTGTCTGTATCACCCACCTGTCTGTCTCTCACCTGTCTGTCTCTCACCTGTCTCTCTCTCTCACCTGTCTGTATCACCTGTGTGTCCCACCTATGTGTCTCTCACCTGTCTGTATCACCCACCTGTCTGTCTCTCACCTGTCTGTCTCTCTCCTGTCTGTCTCTCTCCTGTCTGTCTCTCTCTCCTGTCTCTCTCTCTCCTGTCTGTCTCTCTCCTATCTGTCTCTCTCCTATCTGTCTCTCTCCTGTCTGTCTCTCTCCTGTCTGTCTCTCTCCTGCCTGTCTCTCTCCTATCTGTCTCTCTCCTGTCTGTCTCTCTCCTATCTGTCTCTCTCCTATCTGTCTCTCTCCTGTCTGTCTCTCACCTGTCTGTATCACCTGTGTGTCCCACCTATGTGTCTCTCACCTGTCTGTATCACCCACCTGTCTGTCTCTCCCTGTCTGTCTCTCACCTGTCTGTCTCTCACCTGTCTGTCTCTCACCTGTCTGTCTCTCACCTGTGTGTCTGTCTCTCACCTGTATGTTTCTCACCTGTCTCTCTCACCTGTCTGTATCACCTGTGTGTCCCACCTTTGTGTCTCTCACCTGTCTGTCTCTCACCTGTCTCTCTCTCTCACCTGTCTGTATCACCTGTGTGTCCCACCTGTGTGTCTCTCACCTGTCTGTCTCTCACCTGTCTCTCTCTCTCACCTGTCTGTATCACCTGTGTGTCCCACCTGTGTGTCTCCCACCTGTCTGTATCACCTTTGTGTCTCTCACCTGTCTGTCTCTCACCTGTCTCTCTCTCTCACCTGTCTGTATCACCTGTGTGTCCCACCTTTGTGTCTCTCACCTGTCTGTCTCTCACCTGTCTCTCTCTCTCACCTGTCTGTATCACCTGTGTGTCCCACCTGTGTGTCTCTCACCTGTCTGTCTCTCACCTGTCTCTCTCTCTCACCTGTCTGTATCACCTGTGTGTCCCACCTGTGTGTCTCCCACCTGTCTGTATCACCTGTCTGTCCCACCTATGTGTCTCTCACCTGTCTGTCCCACCTATGTGTCTCTCACCTGTCTGTCCCACCTATGTGTCTCTCACCTGTCTGTCCCACCTATGTGTCTCTCACCTGTCTGTATCACCCACCTGTCTGTCTCTCACCTGTCTGTCTCTCTCCTGTCTGTCTCTCTCCTGTCTGTCTCTCTCTCCTGTCTCTCTCTCTCCTGTCTGTCTCTCTCCTATCTGTCTCTCTCCTGTCTGTCTCTCTCCTGTCTGTCTCTCTCCTGTCTCTCTCTCTCCTGTCTGTCTCTCTCCTGCCTGTCTCTCTCCTATCTGTCTCTCTCCTGCCTGTCTCTCTCCTATCTGTCTCTCTCCTATCTGTCTCTCTCCTATCTGTCTCTCTCCTGTCTGTCTCTCACCTGTCTGTATCACCCACCTGTCTGTCTCTCACCTGTCTGTCTCTCACCTGTGTGTCTGTCTCTCACCTGTATGTTTCTCACCTGTCTGTATCACCTGTGTGTCCCACCTATGTGTCTCTCACCTGTCTGTCTCTCACCTGTCTGTCTCTCACCTGTCTCTCTCTCTCACCTGTCTGTATCACCTGTGTGTCCCACCTATGTGTCTCTCACCTGTCTGTATCACCCACCTGTCTGTCTCTCACCTGTCTGTCTCTCTCCTGTCTGTCTCTCTCCTGTCTGTCTCTCTCTCCTGTCTCTCTCTCTCCTGTCTGTCTCTCTCCTGCCTGTCTCTCTCCTATCTGTCTCTCTCCTGTCTGTCTCTCTCCTATCTGTCTCTCTCCTATCTGTCTCTCTCCTGTCTGTCTCTCACCTGTCTGTCTCTCTCCTATCTGTCTCTCTCCTGTCTGTCTCTCTCCTGTCTGTCTCTCTCTCCTGTCTCTCTCTCTCCTGTCTGTCTCTCTCCTGCCTGTCTCTCTCCTATCTGTCTCTCTCCTGTCTGTCTCTCTCCTATCTGTCTCTCTCCTATCTGTCTCTCTCCTGTCTGTCTCTCACCTGTCTGTATCACCTGTGTGTCCCACCTATGTGTCTCTCACCTGTCTGTATCACCCACCTGTCTGTCTCTCACCTGTCTGTCTCTCACCTGTCTGTCTCTCACCTGTCTGTCTCTCACCTGTCTGTCTCTCACCTGTCTGTCTCTCACCTGTGTGTCTGTCTCTCACCTGTATGTTTCTCACCTGTCTCTCTCACCTGTCTGTATCACCTGTGTGTCCCACCTTTGTGTCTCTCACCTGTCTGTCTCTCACCTGTCTCTCTCTCTCACCTGTCTGTATCACCTGTGTGTCCCACCTGTGTGTCTCTCACCTGTCTGTATCACCCACCTGTCTGTCTCTCACCTGTCTGTCTCTCACCTGTGTGTCTGTCTCTCACCTGTATGTTTCTCACCTGTCTCTCTCACCTGTCTGTATCACCTGTGTGTCCCACCTTTGTGTCTCTCACCTGTCTGTCTCTCACCTGTCTCTCTCTCTCACCTGTCTGTATCACCTGTGTGTCCCACCTGTGTGTCTCTCACCTGTCTGTCTCTCACCTGTCTGTCTCTCTCCTGTCTGTCTCTCTCCTGTCTGTCTCTCACCTGTCTGTATCACCTATGTGTCTCTCACCTGTCTGTATCACCCACCTGTCTGTCTCTCACCTGTCTGTCTCTCACCTGTCTGTCTCTCACCTGTCTGTCTCTCACCTGTCTGTCTCTCACCTGTGTGTCTGTCTCTCACCTGTATGTTTCTCACCTGTCTCTCTCACCTGTCTGTATCACCTGTGTGTCCCACCTTTGTGTCTCTCACCTGTCTGTCTCTCACCTGTCTCTCTCTCTCACCTGTCTGTATCACCTGTGTGTCCCACCTGTGTGTCTCTCACCTGTCTGTCTCTCACCTGTCTCTCTCTCTCACCTGTCTGTATCACCTGTGTGTCCCACCTGTGTGTCTCCCACCTGTCTGTATCACCTTTGTGTCCCACCTATGTGTCTCTCACCTGTCTGTCTCTCACCTGTCTCTCTCTCTCACCTGTCTGTATCACCTGTGTGTCCCACCTTTGTGTCTCTCACCTGTCTGTCTCTCACCTGTCTCTCTCTCTCACCTGTCTGTATCACCTGTGTGTCCCACCTGTGTGTCTCTCACCTGTCTGTCTCTCACCTGTCTCTCTCTCTCACCTGTCTGTATCACCTGTGTGTCCCACCTGTGTGTCTCCCACCTGTCTGTATCACCTGTCTGTCCCACCTATGTGTCTCTCACCTGTCTGTCCCACCTATGTGTCTCTCACCTGTCTGTCCCACCTATGTCTCTCTCACCTGTCTGTCCCACCTATGTGTCTCTCACCTGTCTGTATCACCCACCTGTCTGTCTCTCACCTGTCTGTCTCTCTCCTGTCTGTCTCTCTCTCCTGTCTCTCTCTCTCCTGTCTGTCTCTCTCCTATATGTCTCTCTCCTATCTGTCTCTCTCCTGCCTGTCTGTCTGTCTGACTCTCTCTCCTGTCTGTCTCTCTCCTGTCTGTCTCTCTCCTGTCTGTCTCTCTCTCCTGTCTCTCTCTCTCCTGTCTGTCTCTCTCCTGCCTGTCTCTCTCCTATCTGTCTCTCTCCTATCTGTCTCTCTCCTGTCTGTCTCTCACCTGTCTGTCTCTCACCTGTGTGTCTGTCTCTCACCTGTATGTTTCTCACCTGTCTGTATCACCTGTGTGTCCCACCTTTGTGTCTCTCACCTGTCTGTCTCTCACCTGTCTCTCTCTCTCACCTGTCTGTATCACCTGTGTGTCCCACCTATGTGTCTCTCACCTGTCTGTATCACCCACCTGTCTGTCTCTCACCTGTCTGTCTCTCTCCTGTCTGTCTCTCTCCTGTCTGTCTCTCTCTCCTGTCTCTCTCTCTCCTGTCTGTCTCTCTCCTGCCTGTCTCTCTCCTATCTGTCTCTCTCCTGTCTGTCTCTCTCCTATCTGTCTCTCTCCTATCTGTCTCTCTCCTGTCTGTCTCTCACCTGTCTGTATCACCTGTGTGTCCCACCTATGTGTCTCTCACCTGTCTGTATCACCCACCTGTCTGTCTCTCACCTGTCTGTCTCTCACCTGTCTGTCTCTCACCTGTCTGTCTCTCACCTGTCTGTCTCTCACCTGTCTGTCTCTCACCTGTGTGTCTGTCTCTCACCTGTATGTTTCTCACCTGTCTCTCTCACCTGTCTGTATCACCTGTGTGTCCCACCTTTGTGTCTCTCACCTGTCTGTCTCTCACCTGTCTCTCTCTCTCACCTGTCTGTATCACCTGTGTGTCCCACCTGTGTGTCTCTCACCTGTCTGTATCACCCACCTGTCTGTCTCTCACCTGTCTGTCTCTCACCTGTGTGTCTGTCTCTCACCTGTATGTTTCTCACCTGTCTCTCTCACCTGTCTGTATCACCTGTGTGTCCCACCTATGTGTCTCTCACCTGTCTGTATCACCCACCTGTCTGTCTCTCACCTGTCTGTCCCACCTATGTGTCTCTCACCTGTCTGTCCCACCTATGTGTCTCTCACCTGTCTGTATCACCTGTCTGTCCCACCTGTCTGTCTCTCACCTGTCTGTCCCATCTGTCTGTCTCTCACCTGTTTGTTCATGAAGGCGTAGATCAGAGGGTTGTAGACACAGGAGCTCTTGGAGAACAGGGCAGGGATGGCCACCAGTCTGTAGTCTTTGTTCTGTTCCGTGGAGTAGGCGAAGTACAGGGCAGCGAGGGCGTAGGGACCGTAACAGACGAGGAAGGATCCCACCATCACCACGATCATCCTGGAGACCTCCTTCTCCGCCTTCTGGGTGGAGACAGACTCGGCCTGCTGCGCCGCCACCTACACAACAACAGGAAACATGAATCTACACACCAACGCTGACTGATGGATGGGTGTAAAGAGACAGAGGGGGACACACAGCTCTGAGGGTCCTCAGCAGCTGATGTATGTGTAGATGTATGGGTGTGTAGATGTATAGATCTACAGAGGTATAGGCCTTCAGAGGTATAGATCTATAGAGGTATAGATGGGTAGGGGACTCACGGCTCTGAGGGTCATCAGCAGCTGGGCGTAGCAGAAGATGATGATGCTGAGCGGGCTGATGAAGCAGGTCACCATCAGGAAGGCGGTGTAGCTGCTGCAGTGAAACTCCTCATTGTGAGTGTACCAGTCCGGTCCACAGGCGCAGCCCAGGCCTTCAGGGATGTACCTGACACCAGAACCATGTTAGACCTGATACCATCTGAGAAGAACTGAGATCACCTGAGACCACCTGAGATCAACTGAGAACATCTGAGATCATCTGAGATCATCTGAGATAAACCTGAGACCACCTGAGATCACCTGAGATCAACTGAGATCACCTGAGACCACCTGAGATCAACTGAGATCACCTGAGACCACCTGAGATCAACTGAGATCACCTGAGATCACCTGAGATCAACTGAGAACATCTGAGATAAACCTGAGATCACCTGGGATCACCTGAGAACATCTGAGATCATCTGAGATAAACCTGAGACCACCTGAGATCACCTGAGACCACCTGAGATCATCTGAGATCACCTGAGATCATCTGAGAACCCCTGAGATAAACCTTAGATCACCTGAGACCACCTGAGATAAACCTTAGATCACCTGAGACCACCTGAGATAAACCTTAGATCACCTGAGACCACCTGAGATAAACCTTAGATCACCTGAGACCACCTGAGATAAACCTTAGATCACCTGAGACCACCTGAGATAAACCTTAGATCACCTGAGACCACCTGAGATCACCTGAGATCATCTGAGAACCCCTGAGATAAACCTTAGATCACCTGAGACCACCTGAGATAAACCTTAGATCACCTGAGATCATCTGAGATCACCTGAGATCATCTGAGAACCCCTGAGATAAACCTTAGATCACCTGAGACCACCTGAGATAAACCTTAGATCACCTGAGACCACCTGAGATAAACCTTAGATCACCTGAGATCACCTGAGAACACCTGAGAACACCTGCAGAGGCAGCAGACCCGGTCCCCTACCTGCTCCAGCCGAAGAAAGGTGGGATGGCACAGCCGATCCCCATGAACCAGGTGAAGGCGACCGCAGCCACAGCATGGTTGTTTGTGAACGTGAAGGCCCCCAGAGGCTTACAGATCACAAAATACCTCTCCAGAGACAAGACTGCCAGAGACCAGGCCGTCACCAGCCCTGAAGTCATGGAGGAGAACAGGGAGTTACAGGTCAACAGGAAGTCAGAGGAGAACAGGGAGTTACAGGTCAACAGGAAGTCAGAGGAGAACAGGGAGTTACAGGTCAACAGGAAGTCAGAGGAGAACACAGGAACCCTAACGTAACCTACACACGGTTCCATCACGTTGATTTGATTGGCTGGCGCTTCCGTCGACGCTTGAAAAGTTGAACTTTTCTCAACTCAGCGCGAGCAACGGAGGCAAAGCCAAGCAACGGAACCACAATGCAGTTGGGCAAAGCGTGACGTCTCCCCATTCAAAGTGAATGTCTTATTAAACCTCCAGAAGAGATAAATAAGAACTAATACATTTAGAAGCTTTTATTTCAACATGTAATATTTCCTGTGAATTCAGAATCTATAATATGAAAACGTTGATGATTTATTCTCTTATTTGTTGGTATAAATAATAAGATGTACCTGCGATGGAGCCCATGGCGGACTCCAGGCTGCACATGGTGTGTCCCAGGAAGAAATAGCCTCTGGTGCTGGAGATGAACACCTGGCTGACGGAGAAGGTGACGAAGATGAAGCCCGCGGCCGACACGTTCACCAGGATGTAGTTCAGAGGAACCCTCAGCTTCTTGTGCTTCAGCGTGACGAAGAGCACGAGTAAGTTGAGAGGCGTCCCGGCAAGGAAGACCAGGCCCATGAAGACGGTCTGCAGGTGGAAGGCCCAGAGGGGGGCCAGGTGATACTGAGGGCCTTCGAAGGGACTGATGTTCGAGACATTCTCGTAAAGGTGGAAGTGCTTCCCCATCGTGACCTCCGACTGTATAACACAGCTCCAGTCTGCAGCCTCTTTATATACGCAGCGATAATCCCACCCTCCCGTCTGATAAACCCTAACTCCAGTCCTCTTTATCAACACACCGATAATAACCAGAGAACTAAGAGGATTTACTTCTGGAAGCTGCTTTTCTGAAGCTTCCAGGCGGACTGAGTCCATGACGTCACTCACCTGTGTGAGGAGCTTTCTGTGAGAACAGATAGCTGCTGAATGCTTTTAGATCCTCCGGCACGCTAATAGCTCATGTTCTGAGTCATCTCCATCTTCTATGTGTGAGATACAGACGGGAAGATCAAAATGCTGTTTCTCACAATCCAGAGGAATAAAAGTTAAAACCAACTTACAAAACCAACCTGCAGCCATTATGCACATTACAAAAAAGGGCTCTAAGAGTAATCAATAATGTTGGATATCTTGAACACACTCATTCATTATTCTTGAAGTCACACACACTGAAGTTTACTGATCTGGTTACATTTCAAACTGCATCATGTACAGAGCAAGAGATCATCTACTTGCTAGGACACTACAGACGTTGCTCAGAGACAGAGAGGGGGGGTATCATCTGAGAGGAGATCATCTACTTGCTAGGACACTACAGACGTTGTTCATAGACAGAGAGGGGGGGTATCATCTGAGAGGAGATCATCTACTTGCTAGGACACGACAGACGTTGTTCAGAGACAGAGAGGGGGGGTATCATCTGAGAGGAGGTCTACATCTGAAACAACTCAAGGTCAGAAGAGCTCTGAGAAGAGCAGAACAATCTGTGGGGTGGTTTCATGGAGCGGCTTGGAGCAGGAGTTCAAACAAAGCACACATAGCATTCACTTTGAAGGATGCACAGAAACACTTCTTTGGGAAAGTATGAGAATGAAGAGGAGAAATGATTGAAAGGATAATCATTGATCAGCAGGAAGTGAGGGGGATCAATAAGCATCTGCTTCCTCCTGCTCCCTTTGGACACATAGCATTTATTATTATTATGAATATTTGTGTTGAATATATAAATATTATTATGAATATTGATAAATACTGTATTCTAACAATACGGTATTCACATTTGTTATTTTGTATTTGTTGTTTTTTAATCTGTTTGAAATAAAGATGGAAATGAAATGAATAAAAGATCTAAATATAAATCTCTCTGTATTGTTGCTCCTTGTGTTGCACCTCTGCACAAAAGTCACCGGGCTAAATACAGTTATTAACTTTGTCTGAAGTCACATTGATCTGTGTACTGTATATGTATACTGAATAACAGAGCTGTCAGTCTGTGACTTCAGGTTCCCCTTTGACCCCTTCACCTGAGAGCACCTGTAAACCCACTCAGATCCTCGGATTACACAGAAGATTCACTGCTCCCACTCAACTGATTTAACCTGCTGTAAACCACTGTTAACCACTTTAAACCACTTTAAACCACTTTAAACCACTTTAAACCACTTGAAACTGATTAGCCCGGGTCTGAGAGGCCCAAGCGTTAGCCTGAGGAAGCAGATTAAAAGGGTTCATCTCTGTTTCGGTTAGACAACAACTGCTTCATCTTCACGGGACAGAACGGAGGACAGGTCAGGGTTCATATCCTCTTCTATAAGTCTGGTTCTGTCTTTCTGTGTTTCTATAAGTCTGGTTCTGTGTTTCTGGTTCTGTGTTTCTATAAGTCTGGTTCTGTCTTTCTGGTTCTGTGTTTCTATAAGTCTGGTTCTGTGTTTCTGGTTCTGTGTTTCTATAAGTCTGGTTCTGTGTTTCTGGTTCTGTGTTTCTATAAGTCTGGTTCTGTGTTTCTGGTTCTGTGTTTCTATAAGTCTGGTTCTGTCTTTCTGGTTCTGTGTTTCTATAAGTCTGGTTCTGTGTTTCTATAAGTCTGGTTCTGTGTTTCTATAAGTCTGGTTCTGTGTTTCTGGTTCTGTGTTTCTATAAGTCTGGTTCTGTCTTTCTGTGTTTCTATAAGTCTGGTTCTGTGTTTCTGGTTCTGTGTTTCTATAGGTCTGGTTCTGTCTTTCTGTGTTTCTATAAGTCTGGTTCTGTGTTTCTGGTTCTGTGTTTCTATAAGTCTGGTTCTGTGTTTCTGGTTCTGTGTTTCTGGTTCTGTGTTTCTATAAGTCTGGTTCTGTGTTTCTATAAGTCTGGTTCTGTGTTTCTGGTTCTGTGTTTCTATAAGTCTGGTTCTGTGTTTCTGGTTCTGTGTTTCTATAAGTCTGGTTCTGTGTTTCTATAAGTCTGGTTCTGTGTTTCTATAAGTCTGGTTCTGGTTCTGTGTTTCTATAAGTCTGGTTCTGTGTTTCTGTTTCTGTGTTTCTATAAATCTGGTTCTGTCTTTCTGTGTTTCTATAAGTCTGGTTCTGTGTTTCTATAAGTCTGGTTCTGTCTTTCTGTGTTTCTATAAGTCTGGTTCTGTGTTTCTAGTTCTGTGTTTCTATAAGTCTGGTTCTGTGTTTCTGGTTCTGTGTTTCTATAAGTCTGGTTCTGTGTTTCTATAAGTGTGTTTCTATAAGTCTGGTTCTGTGTTTCTATAAGTCTGGTTCTGTGTTTCTGGTTCTGTGTTTCTATAAGTCTGGTTCTGGTTCTGTGTTTCTATAAGTCTGGTTCTGTGTTTCTGGTTCTGTGTTTCTATAAGTCTGGTTCTGTGTTTCTATAAGTCTGGTTCTGTGTTTCTATAAGTCTGGTTCTGTGTTTCTGGTTCTGTGTTTCTATAAGTCTGGTTCTGTGTTTCTGGTTCTGTGTTTCTATAAATCTGGTTCTGTCTTTCTGTGTTTCTATAAGTCTGGTTCTGTGTTTCTGGTTCTGTGTTTCTATAAGTCTGGTTCTGTGTTTCTGGTTCTGTGTTTCTATAAGTCTGGTTCTGTGTTTTCTATAAGTCTGGTTCTGTGTTTCTATAAGTCTGGTTTCTGGTTCTGTGTTTCTATAAGTCTGGTTCTGGTTCTGTGTTTCTATAAGTCTGGTTCTGGTTCTATGTTTCTATAAGTCTGGTTCTGTCTTTCTGTGTTTCTATAAGTCTGGTTCTGTGTTTCTGGTTCTGTGTTTCTATAAGTCTGGTTCTGTGTTTCTGGTTCTGTGTTTCTATAAGTCTGGTTCTGTGTTTCTATAAGTCTGGTTCTGTGTTTCTATAAGTCTGGTTCTGGTTCTGTGTTTCTATAAGTCTGGTTCTGTGTTTCTGGTTCTGTGTTTCTATAAGTCTGGTTCTGTGTTTCTGGTTCTGTGTTTCTATAAGTCTGGTTCTGTGTTTCTGGTTCTGTGTTTCTATAAGTCTGTTTCTGGTTCTGTGTTTCTATAAGTCTGGTTCTGTGTTTCTGGTTCTGTGTTTCTATAAGTCTGTTTCTGGTTCTGTGTTTCTATAAGTCTGGTTCTGTGTTTCTGGTTCTGTGTTTCTATAAGTCTGGTTCTGGTTCTGTGTTTCTATAAGTCTGGTTCTGTGTTTCTGGTTCTGTGTTTCTATAAGTCTGGTTCTGGCTCTGTGTTTCTATAAGTCTGGTTCTGGTTCTGTGTTTCTATAAGTCTGGTTCTGTGTTTCTATAAGTCTGGTTCTGTGTTTCTATAAGTCTGGTTCTGTGTTTCTATAAGTCTGGTTCTGTGTTTCTGTGTTTCTATAAGTCTGGTTCTGTGTTTCTGGTTCTGTGTTTCTATAAGTCTGGTTCTGTGTTTCTGGTTCTGTGTTTCTATAAGTCTGGTTCTGTGTTTCTGGTTCTGTGTTTCTATAGGTCTGGTTCTGTCTTTCTGTGTTTTCTATAAGTCTGGTTCTGTCTTTCTGTTTTTTCTATAAGTCTGGTTATGTGTTTCTGGTTCTGTGTTTTCTATAGGTCTGGTTCTGTCCTTTCTGTGTTTCTATAAGGTCTGGTTCTGTCTTTCTGTGTTTCTATAAGTCTGGTTCTGTGTTTCTGGTTCTGTGTTTCTATAAAGTATGGTCTGTGTTCTCTGTGTTCTGTGTTTGTTTCTATAAGTCTGGTTCTGTGTTTCTATAAGTCTGGTTCTGTGTTTCTATAAGTCTGGTTCTGTGTTTCTGGTTCTGTGTTTCTATAAGTCTGGTTCTGTGTTTCTGGTTCTGTGTTTCTATAAGTCTGGTTCTGTGTTTCTATAAGTCTGGTTCTGTGTTTCTATAAGTCTGGTTCTGTGTTTCTGGTTCTGTGTTTCTATAAGTCTGGTTCTGTGTTTCTGGTTCTGTGTTTCTATAAATCTGGTTCTGTCTTTCTGTGTTTCTATAAGTCTGGTTCTGTGTTTCTGGTTCTGTGTTTCTGGTTCTGTGTTTCTATAAGTCTGGTTCTGTGTTTCTGGTTCTGTGTTTCTATAAGTCTGGTTCTGTGTTTCTATAAGTCTGGTTCTGTGTTTCTATAAGTCTGGTTCTGTGTTTCTGGTTCTGTGTTTCTATAAGTCTGGTTCTGTGTTTCTGGTTCTGTGTTTCTATAAGTCTGGTTCTGTGTTTCTATAAGTCTGGTTCTGTGTTTCTATAAGTCTGGTTCTGTGTTTCTATAAGTCTGGTTCTGTGTTTCTGGTTCTGTGTTTCTATAAATCTGGTTCTGTCTTTCTGTGTTTCTATAAGTCTGGTTCTGTGTTTCTGGTTCTGTGTTTCTATAAGTCTGGTTCTGGTTCTGTGTTTCTGGTTCTGTGTTTTCTATAAGTCTGGTTCTGTGTTTCTATAAGTCTGGTTCTGTGTTCTTCTATAAGTCTGGTTCTGGTTCTGTGTTCTATAAGTCTGGTTCTGGTTCTGTGTTTCTATAAGTCTGGTTCTATGTTTCTATAAGTCTGGTTCTGTCTTTCTGTGTTTCTATAAGTCTGGTTCTGTGTTTCTGGTTCTGTGTTTCTATAAGTCTGGTTCTGTGTTTCTGGTTCTGTGTTTCTATAAGTCTGGTTCTGTGTTTCTGGTTCTGTGTTTCTATAAGTCTGGTTCTGGTTCTGTGTTTCTATAAGTCTGGTTCTGTGTTTCTGGTTCTGTGTTTCTATAAGTCTGGTTCTGTGTTTCTATAAGTCTGGTT